AATTTATGGGAACCTAATCATGACATTTAGTCATAACACAAACATTATACCATGCCTTTGAATCTAAAACCAAGGTGCACATTCCAAATTTGGGTACTTTATGAAATACTTTATCCTACCTTTCAGCAATTGTTAACCATGCTTTTTTTTTTTTTTTTTAAGGTAAAAGATAACCCATGCCACCTGCCCAGGTCTTATAGATTCTCATATTCTCCACTGCTAAGTGTCTAATTTGCAGTAGGTTTCTGATCCAGAATAACGTGTAGCTGACTCTTGAGCAACAGGAGCTTGAACTACACAGGTCCACTTATCCACAGATTTTCTTCCGTCTCTGCCACCACTGAGACAGCAAGACCAACCCTCCTTTTCTCCCTCAGCCTGCTCAATGTGAAGATGACAACCAGGATGAAGACCTTTATGATGATGCACTTCTTTAATGAATTGTAAATATAGTTTCTCTTACAATTTTCTTCCCCCATTTTTTTTTTTTTGAGACACAGTCTCGCTCTGTTGCCCAGGCTGGAGTGCAGTGGTGCAATCTCAGCTCACTGCAACCTCTGCCTCCCAGGTTCAAGCGATTCTCCCGCCTCATTTCCCAAGTAGCTGGGGTTACAGGTGTGTGTGGGTTTCACCATGTTGGCCAGGCTGGTCTCAAACTCCTGAACTTAAGTGATCCACCTGCCTTGACCTCCCAAAGTGCTGGGATTGCAGGTGTGAACCACTGCACCCAGTCATATAATTTTAAGAACATTTTTTCTTTAGCTTACTTTAATATAGTATATAATACAAATAACATACAAAATATGTTAATCAACTTTCTGTTATTGGTAAGGCTTCCAGTCAGTAATAATAGTTACGTTTTTGAGGAATCAAAACTTATGTACAGATTGTGCAGTGGGCTGGCTCCCTGAAGCCCCAAGTTATTCAAGGGTCAACTGTACTCCCCTGCAATGCACGTAAGATGGACATTTATGAAATGGAGCCAATGCCTGCCCTGCTTCCCTTGTGAGGCTAATGGGTATAGATACCCTGATGATTGCTTCTCTTTCTTGGCAGTAGAAAGAATATGGGCCTTGCAGAAAGAAAGAGGAGAGAATTCTGACCTAATCACTCACTACACTTACTACAGAGGATCAGAGGATAGAATTCTGGCCCAAGAATGTTTCACCTTGACTGAATTTCTTTTTTTTTTTCTTTTTTTTTTTTTTTTGAGACGGAGTCTCGCTTTGCCCAGGCTGGAGTGCAGTGGTACGATCTTGGCTCACTGCAACCTCCGCCTCCCAGGTCCAAGAGATTCTCCTGCCTCAGCCTCCCGAGTAGCTGGGACTACAGGCGCCCACCACCACGCCTGGCTAATTTTTTTGTATTTTTAGTAGAGACGGGGTTTCACCGTGTTAGCCAGGATGGTCTCGATCTCCTGACCTCGTGATCTGCCCGCCTCAGCCTCCCAAAGTTCTGGGATTACAGGTGTGAGCCACCACACCAAATTTCTAAACTTTTGTGCCCATTTCCACAAGTGTGAAACTGAGTTTTCCTATATTGCAGGATTTTTTTTTTTTTTTTTTTTTTTAAGACAGGGTCTTGCTCTGTCACCCGGGTTGGAGTGCAGTGGTATGATCATGGCATGCTGCAGCCTTGACCTCCTGGCCTCAAGCAGTCCTCCAGCTTCAGCCTCCTGAGTAGCAGGGACTGCAGGTGCACACCACCATGCCCGGCTAGTTTAAAAAATTTTTTTTTACATTACCCAGGCTGGTCTCCAACTCCTGGGTTCAAGCAATCTTCCTGCCTCAGCCTCTCAAAGTGCTAAGATTATACTGTTCAACCTTTTTCCAAGAGGACTAAATAAGAGAGTAAACGGAGAAACTTTTAGTCCAATCTTCCAAGCAGCAGCATGCAATGTTCATTTCTTTCCTTCTCCCTCCAAATTTGACACACTGATACATCTGCACTACTTGCACTAATTTGTGCACTGTCTTGTTTCACCCCATTGTTTTACTGCTTCAGTGGAAGCTCTCTTCACTTAGAAAACAGTTTCCTACCCCTGAGCACCAAGAGGAAAGAGTCCAAGGAACTAAGTCTGTGTAGGTCCAGTGGTTTGCAGATTCATGCTTTGGGAACTCTTTATTCAAATGAAATCTCTCCTGGAACCTTGATATAAACAAAACAGGCAACGTCATTTTATTACCATTCCTTTATTTTAGAAGCTCACATCTATAATTTTATAACAATCGTGAAAATGTTACTCAGAACTAGATGTTTTGATGACACATAGCAGAAATCTGTAAAGATGGTCATTGAAACTTAACCAATCTCAGCATTCTATTCCGCCTTTTGTTTTGATTGCACAGAATCAATATAATTTTGATTCATACAGAAAATAACTTAGTATCTTAACCTCCACTCAGGATCTTCATCATAAATGTAGGTCAATACATACCTAAAAACTGTCAATGATCCAACATGATCACATGTGACATGCTACACTTGTGCCTCGTACCAAACAAGCTGATATTTCAATGAGATCTGGTCAGCATATACACCCGAGCCTTGTCTGTCCTCTCAGAGCACTGCACACAGGTAGTGAAAGAACTTTTGTACAATAAGAAATTCACAGGGATGAGGCCGGGCGCAGTGGCTCACACCTGTAATCCCAGCACTTTCGGAGGCTGACGCAGGTGGATCACTTGAGGTCAGGAGTTCGAAATTAGCCTGGCCAACATGGTGAAACCCTGTCTCTACTGAAAATGCAAAACTTAGCTGGGCGTGGTGGCACGAGTAGTCCCAGCTACTCGGGAGACTGAGGCAGGAGAATAGCTTAAACCCGGGAGGTGGAGGGTGCAGTGAGCCAAGATCGCGCCACTGCACTCCAGCCTGGGTGAGCACGAGACTCTGTCCCTACAACAACAACAAAGATATTCACAAGGATGAATTTAAATAGGTAAACAGCAGTGTAGAACTACATCCTTCCTAGTCAATTACACCTTTAGGAGACTTTAAATAGGCATAGAAACGACAAAGGGCTTATACTGAGAATTGCACAAAAATGAGTTACTTGGCAGCACAAGGTAGGGATTGTATGTGTCAAAGAGTATATAGACTGTTCTACCTTCATGCTCTACTCATTGCCATATCCCTTCGTGATTCCCTGAGACTCAGGTGAAATGCCCTTCTAATACTTCCTGGAGAAGGGCCTCCTCCTCCTCAGCTGCCTCGTAATCCTTTATTAGTACCAGTAACTGCAAGAAACCAGGGGCTGGGCCATCCTCTGGCAGATTAAGCTCTCTGCGAATTGTTTTGTGGACTGCGCCAGCAATGACTTGGTCTAGGCGGGCCTGATTCACAGCATCTCTCTCAATTGCTCCTCTCTGTACCAGCTTCTGTAACAAAGGCTCCAGCCTTAGTACATAAGCCGACAACTTTTCCTCATCCTTCTGATAAGTGGTTAGATATTTGACCTGCAACTCTCTAGGATTATCTGTAACCCCAAATACCTCCTCAAGAGCCTGCAGGCATTCATCGACAGTAATTAAAGGATTGTTTATCTTGAGGACACGAATAACATCAAGTGCTGGGCCTCGAAGGCTCTCTAGCAATCGCCTTCTCTTCTCTACATCTGGCACCTGCCACGCCTTTATCATCTGAGTAGTATGAAACATCCAGCGTCCAAATTCTTCTTCTCCTGGTTCTGGAGGCTCCCTGCCCGAGAACACTCTCAGCTTTTTATACTTCAAGCATTGCAGGGCAGGCTGAAGAGCCTCTAATGCCTGTGCCAACATAGGGGCCCACATTTCTGGGATCATGCCCTGCTCTAGGTCTAAGGAGCCATTTTCATGTGCAAGAGCTCTGGTCAACTCACCCACTGTCATGCCCTCTCCCGCTAAAAATTCATTTAATCTGCTTAAAAATGTATTATCAGAGTCAGGGGGCTTAAAGATCACTCTCCAGATACCCCCTTTTCCCGGTATCTCCTTAGGGACCAGTGCGTGACTAGTCTCCGCAGTAAGCCCTACTAAGGCTACTTTCCTGTTCTCATCCCTCCTGAACATCCTTCCAAGCAGTCTGTACTCCCCCAAGGGAGCTAAACCAGCCTGCAGAGCCTCCTCGATTTCTGCCACACTGCAGCTCTGGGAGATGCCGGCAATCAACAGCGCTTTCCGAGGGTTCATGTCCATCCCCCTGCACCAGTCTTCCAAAAGCCTCAAAGTCATGGTGCCCGAAATAATACACTTAAGTTCTAAATATTCCAGACCACAGGCGGCCACTGCAATTCAAAGTAATCCTCCGCGGTACCTCAGGGAAATCTCGTCAACGTGCCGAGGTCCAGCAGCCTGCAAAACACAGCAGACAGGTTAGCTAAGGGTGCCAACGTCCAAGGCACTCGTGCAGGCCCCAAGCCCCGCGCGCCCTGCCCCCCGCGGCGACTCCAGGGCCGCCGCACTGCGGCGCGCGCCCCTCACCCCTCCCAGCCCTGGTGCCTGGCGGATGTCGGGCCTGCAGGGCCTCTCCGGGCCAGCTTCCACTCACCGTAATCTAGTGCTCGGTGCCCGCGTCCGTGCGCCGGCGGCGGAGGTGCCTGGCCGGGCCCCGACGAGGTGCGGGAGGGCGGGCTCCCCTAGGCTCGGACGGACACTCAGGGGCCAAAGCGACTGATGCCGGTCCTCCAGGTGCTTGTGATGCTCTCCGCAGCAAGAAGTGATCGGGCGATGACAGTCGCGATCGGGCACCGGGAGGAAAGGCTGAGGAGCGCTGAGTCGCCAGACCCAGACAGCCGCCCACCTGAAGGGACGTGCCGCCACCCGCGCAGCTAGACCCCCAGCTCCAGCGCGGATTCCAGCTGTTTGGGTCTCGCTGGGGGAAGCTGCGCGGCGGGCGGGGGCGATCTGACGTCATGAGGGGGGGCGGGCCTCTGGGGGGCGGGGCGCGCGCGCTTCCGGCCCGAGCCGGAAGCCCCGACTGCGGCGGCATCCGGGACGGCGGGCGGGCTGGCCACCCGGGACAGGAAGGTGAGATCCGGGACCTTAGCTTTGCAGGCAGGCTCTGCCGGCGGCCGCTGACTGGCGCTGGGCTCGCGACGCTGCAGGGCTGCGAGGCCCGGGCCTGGCGCAGTCAGCACAACCCTGGTCGCGGCGTGCCGGCGCTGCAGCGCGGCAGGGGGCGGGGCCGGCCGCCTGGAGGCCCTTGTGGCGGGGACGCCTCCCGGCCGGGTCAGGTCCCCATAGCGGGTCTCCGGCGGCGGCGACGGGGGCCGGGCCGCGCGTGACCCGCCGCAGTCACGCCGTTCTTAATCACTAGTAGCTGGTGCTCCAGGCTGGCGGCGCTCACCTTTCTCCTAGCCGGGTGACCCAGGGGATTTATTTTATGGTGGCTTTCTCTGAAATGCCAAAGCCACCCGATTATTCAGAGCTGAATGACTCTTTAACGCTTGCCGTGGGAACAGGAAGATTTTCGGGACCACTGTAAGTGCTTAGGAGTTACTGTCTTAACTTGGGGGCTTGACTTGTAGCACCCCGCGTTCACATCTGAAGCAGTACTGTAAAGCCGAAAGTGTTTCACCTGTCAAAGTGAAAAGTGCTGTGGGAAACTAGTTTAATTCCAGTTTCTGGAGGGCGGGTATTATGGACCTGTTTAAGTAGGATGCAGTGATTTATTCTGAGATTCCCGTTAAAAAGCAGAACTCAGTATATACTGAAATCAATGCTTATTTTGTTTTTGTTTGTTTTTTTATTGTAACTATTACACAAAACCTGTAAGTTTTACATTTCTTAATAGGCGTTTAATTATTTTAAATCTTAAGTGTGTTAGTGGGATGCTTTCGAATTTAATTTTATTTTTTTGAGACGGAGTCTCGCTCTGTCGTCCAGGCTGGAGTGCAGTGGCGCGATTTCGGCTCACTGCAAGCTCTGCCTCCCGGGTTCACGCCATTCTCCTGCCTCAGCCTCCCGAGTAGCTGGGACTACAGGCGCCCGCCACCACGCCCAGCTAATTTTTTGTATTTTTAGTAGAGAAGGGTTTCACCATGTTAGCCAGGATGGTCTCAATCTCCTGACCTCGTGATTCGCCCGCCTCGGCCTCCCAAAGTGCTGGGATTACAGGCGTGAGCCACCGCGCCCGACCTAGAATTCTTGGAGATAAAGCAAGTACATCTGGAGTAGTTGCGGTGACAGTACTACAAGACCCTAATTGTATTTTCTTTTTTAATTTGAAGGCACAGAGCATGGAGAATGATGAATTTCCGTCAGCGGATGGGATGGATTGGAGTGGGATTGTATCTGTTAGCAAGTGCAGCAGCATTTTACTATGTTTTTGAAATCAATGAGACTTACAATAGGCTGGCCTTGGAACACATTCAACAGCACCCTGAGGAGCCCCTTGAAGGAACCACATGGACACACTCCTTGAAAGCTCGATTACTCTCCTTGCCTTTTTGGTTGTGGACAATTATTTTTCTGGTACCTTACTTACAGATGTTTTTGTTCCTATACTCTTGTACAAGAGCTGATCCCAAAACAGTGGGCTACTGTATCATCCCTATATGCTTGGCAGTTATTTGCAATCGCCACCAGGCATTTGTCAAGGCTTCTAATCAGATCAGCAGACTACAACTGATTGACACATAAAATCAGTCACCGTTTTTTCCCTACGATTACAAAACTGCCAGTCCTATATGGAGTCTGATCACAAGACTGCAGTTTCTTCACAGATCTCAGGAAGTTGTGGTGGGGCAGAGGCTTTTTAAAAACATGTGATCAGGGGGCTATCTTTATCTGAATAATAATGAATTTTTAGGTAAAACCTGAGATAGAGTACTACAAAATCATGTTGATGACTTCAGATTTTGGAAGTTAAATCGTGTCTGTTATTTGCATTCTTTAGAAACTTGACTGAGTACCTGAATTCATATTTCTATTCTACTGTGCAACATAGTGATGATTCAGAAATTTTTCCTTTGGGGAAAAAAAATGAATATGAACATTTCCATTGTGTTAAGTGTAAAAAGGTCCAGACATGATCATAAAATTTAAATTTTATACAATTACTTGGCTTGCTTTAAATTCTTCACACTTAAAACACCGATTCATTCTATTGCAGCTAAGCCAGCTGTTTATACTTGCTGTCAGCTTATGAGGCATTGCTAAAAAAAGTATTAAGGTAATGGCTGTCTTGATAAGCAGAATTTGTTCTTCCTCTTGGTAATGGCTAGCTAAATTATTATTAGTGCTTTTAATGGTTTTATTTTTTATATTTTTCTTTTTTGTGGAGAATGAGGTCTCGCCACGTTGCCCAGGCAGGTCTTGAACTCCTGGGCTCAAGCTTTCCTCCCCTCTAGCACTCCCTAAGTGCTAGGATTACTGGCGTGGCTCCCATGCCCAGCTATTTTTAATTAAAAAAATTTTTTTTTCCATGGCTTGTGACACAGTCTCAGGAGGCCCTGAGAACATGTGCCCCATTGCTACTAGTTTAGAAAACTATTTGGGAAGAGACTAAATGGTAAATGTTGAAAGGCTAGAAATAACTTACAAATAGAAGATGGAAACAATGTGTTCAATGAAAATAAGCAGGTTATTAATTAATTAATTAAAATTATTTTTTTTTTTTTGAGACGGAGCCTTGCTCTGTCACCCAGGATGGAGTGCAGTGGTGCATTCTCGGCTCACTGAAACCTTTGGCTTACTGCAACCTCTACCTCCCCGGTTTAAGAGATTCTCTTGCCTCAGCCTCCTGAGTAGCTGGGATTACAGGTGACTGCCCCTACGCCTGGCTAATTTTTGTTATTTTAGTAGAGAGGGTTACAGCATGTTGGCCAGGCTGTTCTCAAACTCCTCACCCAAGGTAATCCGCCTGTGTCAGCCTCCCAAAGGCCTGGGATTACAGGCATGAGCCACCATGCCCAGCTGTATTTTATTTATTTATTTATTTATTTATTTTGAGACGGAGTCTCGCTCTGTCACCCAGGCTGGTGTACAGTAGTGCGATCTCAGCTCACTGCAACCTCCGCCTCCCAGGTTCACACTATTCTCCTGCCTCAGCCTCCCAAGTAGCTGGGATTACAGGCACCCGCCACCATGCCCGGCTAATTTTTGTATTTTTTAGTAGAGATGGGGTTTCACCATGTTGGCCAGGCTGGTCTCGAACTCCTGACCTCAAGTGATCCGTCTCAGCCTCCCAAAGTACTAGGATAACAGGCATGAGCCACCACGCCCAGCCTATAACAGGTAATTTAGTCCAGTCCTTATCAGATGCATGAGACCCCTCTAAAAGATGCTATCAAGTCATAATCTTTCTGATTTTCTTTTCTGGCCCAAGGTCAGGTCGTCAGGCGGTAGGTTAATTACATGAAGATGTGATCCTTGTATACCTTCTCCTTTGCATTTGTACTACCTCACATCTGGTACTAATACAAATAACTAAAACATGGACACAGTAGAATGTCTTCTTTTCTGTGTGAGATCAAGATATATTTTTATACAGTTATGTCATTAATACTGGAAAACATTTTATGCTTTTAATAATTTAACACTTTTTGGTGCTGATTCTGTTGAACCCTATTCTAAGAGCTTTATGGAAATTAACTCATGTTAACTCTGAACAACCCTATAAGATGGCTATTATTATCCAGATTTCACAGATAAGGAAACTGAGGCAGAGAAGGCAAGTAACTTGCCAAAGGTCACAGCGAGTAGCAGAGCCAGGGTTATAACCAGGTATTCTCATGCCTTCGTTACTAACCACAGAGGCATAGTGCTTCTCACAAATGACAAATGTTTTAAGCACTGGGTACTGTTTGCCCAGTCATGTCAAAGAATGGAAATGGCAATATTATTGACAAGTTCTTCTCCATTTGTCTACTAGAAATCTGAAAGTTTCCTAGCAACCTCATCTTTTCACTACATCTGACTGAAGCAGAAAGGAAGGCTGAGTATTTCATAGCAAGCTTTTACTTAAAAGATAAAGCAGGTACCTTTGTCATGCAAAAGTAGCAGATCAGATCTTTCAGATAAATTAGTCTCATTTATCTCACTGCCTCCAAAGGTCTAGTTACTGAAATGATATATCTTTTGATACAGTACATGGAATCCTCAAAGTAAGCAGCAGTTTGAAATACCTGTTTCTGTGAGGTTCAGATGACCAAATCACTTGCATCTTTTAAGTCTTCAGTATGCATGTTACAGGCATTGTTTTTTTTTTTTTTTTTTTTTTTTTTTTTTTTTTTAGACGGAGTCTCGCTCTGTCGCCCAGGCTGGAGTGCAGTGGCCGGATCTCAGCTCACTGCAAGCTCCACCTCCCGGGTTCACGCCATTCTCCTGCCTCAGCCTCCCGAGTAGCTGGGACTATAGGCGCCCGCCACCTCGCCTGGCTAGTTTTTTGTATTTTTTTAGTAGAGACGGGGTTTCACCGTGTTAGCCAGGATGGTCTCGATCTCCCAACCTCGTGATCCGCCCATCTCGGCCTCCCAAAGTGCTGGGATTACAGGCTTGAGCCACCGCGCCCGGCCCCAGGCATTGTTTATGAGTGATTTACATTTATTCTTCACAACAGTCTTGGGAGGCAGGTATTATACTGCTACTAGTATCCTTTTACAGAGGAAGAAATCTGAAACACATACGAATAACTGGTACATAGTCATACAGCCAGTAAGTGAAAGAGCCAAGATTTGAACCCAGGATGTCAGCTTCAGATCTCCAGCTTTTTTATCATTCTATACTGCTTCTCAAAAAAGAGAGTAATCTGAGGTAAATCATCGAGAGTTTTCAGTTTTATTAGTCTTGAGGCAGTGATTTAAGACAATTATTTCAGTTTTGTTTTATAAATGCTTTATGTAGGCTGGTCGTGGTGGCTCACATCTGTAATCCCAGCACTTTGGGAGGCAGAGGTGGGAGGATAGCCTGAGCCCAGGAGTTCATGACCAGCCTGGGCAACATGGCAAGACCCCATTTCTATTAAAAAGGATGGCTCATGCTACTCCCAGCACTTTGGGAGTCCGAGGCGGGCAGATCATTTGAGGCCAGGAATTCAAGACCAGCCTGGACAACATGGCATAACCCTGTCTCTACTAAAAATACAAAAATCAGCCAGGGCTGGTTGTGCATGCCTGTAATCCCAGCTACTTGGGAGGCTGAGGGAGGAGAATCGCTTGAACCCGGGAGAGAGAAGTTGCAGTGAGCCAAGATCACGCCACTGCACTCCAGCCTGGGCCACAAGAACAAGACTTATCTCAAAAAAAAAAAAAAACTTTCATGTAATGCAAGGTTTGTGAGGTTGCCACTGGTATTGCAAAGTAGTAATTCCTTTTGAATGAAGTAGATCCATCTCTCTTGATACTTCAAATTCTAGTATTTTGGGATTTGGTAAGAAAATGTTCAGTCCATCTCTGTCTTTCAAGATTATATTGCCTTTTGCCTTGATAGTAGAAATATTAAAATAGAGTAGGATTAATGTAGTAAACTTAGTGTTTCCAAATGTAATTACTACATTTCAGATTGCAGGTTTAATCTGCTTTTTGATTATTTAGGACCTATTTATCCAAGTTGTGGGTTATTTCTAGTTTGTGGCTATTTAATAGTTCAAAGCATTTTTTAGGTAAGGTAAAGAGGAAAAAGTGAAATATATTTTTTAATCTGTTAGCTCTTGGATAGAGGAAGAAGTTGAAATTGATGGCTAGGGAATAATTAAAAAATTAGCCTGGCGGCTGGGCACAGTGGGTCACGCCTGTAATCCCAGCACTTTGGGAGGCCGAGGTGGGTGGATCACAAGGTCAGGAGTTTGAGACCAGCCTGGCCAACATGGGTGAAACCCTGACTCTACTGAAAAATACAAAAATTAGCTGAGCATGGAGGCGTTTGCCTGTAATCCCAGCTACTCGGGAGGCTGAGGCAGGATAATCACTTGAACCCAGGAGGCGGAGGTTGCAGTGAGCTGATATGGTGCCATTGCACTCCAGCCTGGGTGACAGGGCAAGACTGTGTCTCAAAAAAAAAAAAAAAAAGAAAAAAGAAATTGATGGCTAGGAGACCTGTGTATGATAGCAGATCATCATTTTTTTCTTTTCTTTTCTTTCTTTTTTTTTTTTTTTGAGACAGAGTCTTACTGTGTTGCCCAGGCTGGAGAATAATGATGTGGTCTTGGCTCACTGAAACCTCTGCCTCCTGGGTTCAAGTGATTCTCCAGCCTCAGCCTCCCAAGCAGCTGGGATTACAGGTGCATGCCACCACACCTGGCTAATTTTTGTATTTTTAGTAGAGATGGTGTTTCACCATGTTAGCCAGGCTGGTCTCGAACTCCTGACCTCAGGTGATCCACCCGCCTTGGCCTCCCAAAGTGCTGGGATTACAGGTGTGAGCCACTGTGCCCAGCCCATTTACTTCATATTCACATCACAATACAAAAAACAGTGAATACAGGATTACTTAGTGAGATGAACAGCAAATATAGTAAGTGCTTCAGGGATTTTAGGGAGGGGACAAACATTCTAGGATTCATAACTAGGAAACAGTCGCTTCCAGAGATGAGAAAAATAGAGCTGGCCGGGCGCGGTGGCTCAAGCCTGTAATCCCAGCACTTTGGGAGGCCGAGACGGGTGGATCACGAGGTCAGGAGATCGAGACCATCCTGGCTAACACGGTGAAACCCCGTCTCTACTAAAAAATACAAAAAACTAGCCGGGCGAGATGGCGGGCGCCTGTAGTCCCAGCTACTCGGGAGGATGAGGCAGGAGAATGGCGTAAACCCCGGAGG